CAGGAGATAACTGTAATCATTGGAAATTCATTTAGATACAGTCTCCTGTATGTGGACACCTCTATTCAGTCGCACATGAGCTCAATTTTCTAACTTAAGAGATCCTTAAAAGAGACTCAACTCCAAAGGCTGTTGCGTCAAAAGTTGATAAAAGGGGAGAACCAATTGAATGTGCTTGAAAGCTCATGTCTCCGCAGTAATTTTCTGATTACTAACGGCAGGATCGCGAGGAAGTTTTAGAACTCACGCAAGCATCACTTACAATCAGCAGGCACTACGTACCATATAGTTACTTATTATAGACGCTGAGATTTCTACCAGAAGGTCAGTATCTTCCAGAGAGCCATGACAATGAAGTATGTACACAAGGTGGTGTAACTTCAGTACCTGATGAAGAGACTGAATTCTTTAAGTGTCGGATTTGATAATGCTTTAACGACAGATGTCGCCTCGATTTAACCAGTGTCTGCTGATATGATGATCGTCGCCAATAATTTTTGGAGATGTTTGCAGAGCACGCAGATTTCTCCCAAGAGGCTCGCACCCACTTAGATATTACCTCCAAGTCAATTCCAATTTCAGACTGTCTGACGAACGACGAATGTACAACTAAACTGCACCCAGACATTCTGCCTCATCCATACACGCCATGTGTTCGCAAATGTGTTTACACCAAAGAAAAACTGAAGAAAGCAGGCCCAGACTTCTCACGACACGATTTTTTTTTTCATAGAAGTAAACCCTAAACAATACACGTGGGCAGACAATCAATCCCTCAGGAGTCCAATAAGACAAAAAGCAATAAAGAATTTGGTTTACGTTGATACCTGTTAACATGAATGAAGACACCGATCTAATTTGAGAACACGTATAACTGATAATTAACGTGGAGTGTTGCTGATCCGTTACATACATACAGCTGCTTGATCGCACATGAAGAAGCTGCTAACATGAATGAAGACACCGATCTAATTTGAGAACAAGTATAACTGATAATTAACGTGGAGTGTTGCTGATCCGTAACATACATACAGCTGCTTGATCGCACATGAAGAAGCTGCGCAGTCAGATTATTCCTCACGCGATAGCCTCGTTACGAAAACCAGGCAATTTATAGATCAATTGGGGATTAGAGGTGTAAAACAAGAGATCCACATCGAGAATGAGTATAAACTAAATATACAGCACCTGAAAGGACTTATAATTACGCGTACAGTGTGAAACTGGTGGTCAGGGTAGCAATTGGTGGTATTTTCGGCAATCATATATTGTGGATAACATCGAAGCAAGATTTTGTCTACAGACAATCAAAATCCCGCAGAAGACAGAAGAATTGGAATTTAGTAATATAAGCCGCTTTTATCACTTGCGTTTCCGACCCTACAAATCTTACGGCATCGGTATCGGATAATATATTTGAGATATATGTTAGTACAAGTTCTAGGTTGTTCAAAACGGGATCCAGAAATTTTTTATGCAATCTCCCAGAGAAAGGAATTGAGACTTTGGAGTCAATTTCTCAACTCGAATTAGACAACAGCAGTATGAGTGACATATTTGAGTAGACGTAGTTGCTACTGAAAGCGAATGTGAACAACTTCGCGCTCTGTGTGCTATCACCAATTGATTGCAGCTTACTTAAATCAAATCAAATGAACTGCTCGGTCCCTGAAATGGGTAACACGCCAGTAGTGATATTATACCAAAGTCAACAGAAGAAAATACATATTACACCCCTGTAAAAGATCGCTCATACATTTGAACATTAACCAAGCAAATGATTCCATATTATTCACCTGTAAGTTGAAACGAACACCAACTTTGAGTATTGGATATGCTTTGTTTCAAAATCACTAATTAAAAAATACTGCTACTGAACAGGAATGTCATCTAAAGTAGGATGACATTCCTGTTCAAAAAAGCTTGGAAAATGTGGAGCCAATAATACTTCAAGTTCATACCTGCTCTATTGTGTAAGCCAGCACGTTAGAGTTGTTAATAAATAACCTTCGTAATGCTTATCTAGGCTACAACTCAAGAGATGGAGACTTGCAATCATCCCTTGTCTCTCGAGTTTTGACCAGGATACATTTAAGATCTTCCAGAAAGCTTGAAAAATGCGCGACCGATAAGAGGACAGGAAATTGATTCAAGTAGCACCCAGGCAGTACCGTTCTTCGGGCCTGGTTCTTATAACATTGCTTTTCCAGGACAAAATTTGAAAAGTATATATGCCTTGATTGTATGAGTTACACAGTGAATACTGGTTGAGACCTCTCATTCTTCAGTGACTGTCGCGTCGTAAGCGCTTGTGTGATCCAGCTAGAGGTACAGATTTGGTAGTAATTCCGAAAAGAAGGAAGGGTCTCCTACAGAGCTGTATCTCCGAGATCATGCTCATCTTCCTTGAGGGAGATGAGCATGATCAGACACTGAAGTTATGAACAAGGCTGGGCACTTCTCACTCAGACCAGCAATTGATAACTAGCTTCTAATTTCACCTAATCTTTGTCTTATATCCTATATTGCAGGAGGTAGTCCTCCACAGTGCCAGAAAAAGCTCCCAAAGATCACGCACCTATGTTTCTAAGATAGTAATATGATTATGATATGTTTATGATATGGTCAGTGACAGCTATAAGAGAAAACTTATCTGAAAGAGTGATGAATCGCATTCAGAAGGAGAGAACGTGTCGATTGTGTCAGTACAATGAGCATTTGAAATCTAGAATGAGAGGCATGGTTATTGGACTTTGTCCATATAGATATTGAACAATGAAGAGAGATGATAAACAGGAATTTTCTCACTCTTTCAAGTGATTCGGAGCCTATAATGCCTTCAGAAACTTGTTACTATTACAGTCTGATTTTATTGAGAATGAGGTGTACATGGTTCTTCTAGGAGTTGTCAATACCTCTGAAGAGTCATTCTTACAATCTTGACTGAACTTCTCACTATATATAATCTTTAGATGCATCGAAGTCAGACTTCCCTTCAGCTTGTGCAGACATCAATGTGACCCAAACACTGAGTACAACTACAACACGAATGCAGGTGAGTATCCATCCATGCAAATCTTGGACTCACTTACAAATAGGTTCTCAAAGTTAAATGCATGCTTTGGTCTTAGAGAGAAAAATCGCGCGCACTTTCCCCTTCATATACCAGCAGCTTCATACAAAAGTACAACAGGAAGCACACACTATATGGGAGTGGTTCCTAACCTGAATTTAATTCATGATTCCGATTGGAGTACCTGTTCTGCAAAGAAAATAAATTATACCTTATTTAGATCGTTGAGCCTAAAATTTAAAATATCTCAATTGAACGAATATATGATATATATATTATTCCAAGACCTCCATTTAGCTAAAGACACCACACAAACTGCGTATTTAATATCTTATCGTTGATTCAAAGCCCAAAGCTGCTGCTCTTTTGATCCTAGGATCTCTAAAGATGGATGACCCAGTTAAGTTATTCTTTGTTTATGCCTAAACTCAAGATGAAGTTTCAAGCTCGTCTATGGCAAAAAATTCAACAACGGATGAGACGCTTGTCCTTTTAATAAGATATCTCCAGCAGACCGCCTGGTGTTTATATTGGATACAATTCTACATCCTATCTAAAACTTCATAAATGATCATAAGAACTGTTTCTTTTCCGCTTAGCCCCGGTATAGCCCCGCTTACTTGCTGACTTTGGAAGGAAGAACACAATAAATCCAAGACTAAATTACGGCCCTTCCAAGTCAAGCATCCACTGTAAAGTATGAATGAGTTTGAATTATGAGTTCAAGGCTAACTGACGACCACTGTTAGCCTTCGAATGACCTCTTGTGCAAATTTAATGACCAAACAGGATATGCACTATAATGAGCTTAAAGTTGGAATTTAGTAGATACTCAGCTGAAAAGAAAACGCAGAACTAGACCACTCACCCGTTCATAAGGTAAATTTGTTCCAATCATAACGTTATTGCAATATTAACTCTACAGCAATTTCAATATTAGCAATGTCAATCTCTGACAATGAATTACCGTATCAAGGCAGCGGCCAAGCACTTTTCGTAAAGCCTCGAAGAGCTGTACTAGAATGCGCTCCGTTCATTACTATACGACGTACTTATATTTTGTACACGCTTGTTCGCTCGTTGCAGCTTTTCCTTCAACTCAAAACAATGGAACTTAAATAGACTGACTACGGTCAACAAAAGTCGAAAGCATCCGTAATAGTTACAAATTTGAGAGGGCAGTTGTGATACTGTGAAAATATCGATATAGCAGTTGGCACACGATAACATCCATAACAGTGAGGAGTTTTGAAGCTGGCAATAGAGTCAGTACCAACCTCCTGTACAATTCTCTATGCTTGACTTGCAGGGAGTGTGGTCAAAGCACAACCAGGGTAAATGGAAAGCGCACTGTAAAATTGCAAATCTCAGAACAAAGTACTATACCTGAGGGACTAGTCAACGACGTGAAGCACGCAATCGAGTCGAAGAAGTCACCACGAGATACGTCAGCAAGCGATATCAAACTCCCTTGACGCAGCTTTCGACCCGAAGGGCTATTTCGCGGCGTAGTCCATGTAGATCGCAACTGGAAAGGGGACTCTCAGCAACTGTACACATATTTCTAACACACAGAAACAAGGATCAAATGTATGGACTTACAGCCGCTTTTCATAGCTTTGGTGATAGTCTGCTGATGTTTCGAGCAAAGACTGTAACATTTGTTAACCTTCGTGAACATGAGTGCCAACCACGGAAGTCTCGATATGATCATGACTTCTTGACTCAAGCACGTCTCTACTTCTCTTCAAGCTTATCAGACTGAATTCGGTATTCCGTATCATCTTATTTCCTTCTGATCATCAAACCATACATTCCATCAAGTGTGCGTTATGCTTATTCCTACAATGCATCCGGACTTGAGTACTTCACATCAAATCAAGCGCTGAGTAACACAGGGTCTGCCGAACCAGGAGCCTGTAATGGAATTTTACCTTCACGACGGAGCTTGCATGTTCGTCATTCGTCTTCTCTGCATGCGCCAATCAGCTAAATGGTCGTGCCTGATGTTGAGATTTTCGTTTCAGGCGTCTCAAGTATCAGCATCAGCTCTCAAAACGCCCGGGACCCGAGCGCGGCCTCGCCCGTGAAGCTCGTTGGAGAGACGATATCACGGGAAAGGATCTTTTCTTCCTCATCGGGTTCCTAAAGGTGTCCTTTCCTCCGGCGAACTTGGGCAAAGCCGAAAGTGCCAACATAGGGTTCCTAAGAAGGCGCTGACTTAGACATTGCCAGAACCTGAGCATGGGAAATACGAAGTGCTGTCATGGGATACCACATATACTGTGTCGCAGCCGTCGGCTTTAATAACGCGAATCAGTCCGTTCACACCGCGAACCAAGTATTCTCCAACTCTGTACGCAAGAGTTCTGGTCCGACGACCAGAATAATATAGTTCGAGTGTGAACTCTCCACAGCCGTCGATCTACTTAAGATCTCGCGTGCCTTTATTAAGCATTACGTCAAGAGGTTCAAGGTCCCCAGTAGTTCTATAAAGGGCACGCAAGTCGATGTACAGTTCTGTCCTCAAGAATGTCTTACAAATGTTCCGCCCGTGCTGACGTTAAGTCCTACCGAGCAATAGTTGGATCCGAATAGAGCTAACTCTGAAGACACGACTCAATTGAACTCGTCTGGACTCCCATAACTCTTATGTCGTACGTATCTACCACAGTATGTACGTACGACTGTGGTAAACCCAAGAACGGGATCAAGTCGCATGGGGCGTGACAGACGCTCTTACCAACCAGCCCCTCTTTTAGGGAACACTGCAAGACAGCATGTGCGCTGACCCATATAGTACGTTACGGTCGGAATTTGGAATGGAAACGTTGCGGGGAAAATCGCGAAGTTCACACATAATTTTGAGTGTACACTAGTCTATCTAAAAATCACAACAGTGTGCGGCAATTCAGCATGCTTGGTTACAAGTTCAAACAAGAATATTTACTAAGTACTATGTGAACATCCACGATCTAAACCGTGATCTAATTAAAGTCTTCGCGACAGTAAACTGTACTCTGTGCAACTCCTGAAGGTAAGAGATCTTTACCTCTGTCTGTCTTTACAGAAGACAAACCTTCCTGTCAAAAGCATACTTGTTCTAAGTTTTTTTACTTTTCAGAGACAAGAGAAAGACATGGGACGTCCTTCCAGACCGCTCTTGTACCGTTTCCGAAAATATATTTTGTCTTTTAAATGACCGAAAGAAGAAGATATTAGTTATTCGAACTGTGCTTTAAGTTTCCACAAGTTTTCCTCTCAAAAGAAATATTCATGTACTCCCAAATTCAAATCAAAACTATTCTAGTTAACTCAATTATTCAGATATTTTCAATTTGAGGTAAGTAACATGCTCGACTAAAATGTGGACTATCGAATTTAGTCTTGAGTACTCACTATTCCATGGTATTCGCACTGCCACGGATTTCCCAAAGACGAAGAATGATGTAAAATGTGAGCCTAACTTTTGGAACATCAACTTAAACAAAGATCTGTCGGTCAAAACAGAGACGTCCATACCCAGGGAAAAAAGACAAAAAGTACGTTAGTAATGTCTGAGTTTTGGACCGGAGAGCTAATGTCAATTTACTCTTCGGTGCTTTTAGTCTGTACAATACAGTACACAGTGAAGATCATCATGACCACGTCAGCAAATTTCAACCTTGCAACCTTCGAACGAGTACCTGTGGGTTACTGACAAATTCCAATTACATGTTTGACTCTGACATGCACTAATTGCACGACGAAAATTGTGACACGAGATTCTGATCGATGCAGGACAATGTCACTTTATCCCAAATATTGACCAGGGAACAAAATTCTAGTCATTGTACATCTAAAAGTACATGCTTAAATGATTCTAATCATTGGACTAGAAGGTCAAGGTATGAATTTGAGTTAATTTCGCGGAATTATTGATTCATATGTTTTATTTCTAAAAATATAATAATTTAACAGTCAATAAAATATATTTTATTATATCTTTTTTTAAAAATTAAAAATTATATATTTGATAAAATATATTTCATGACTGCTAATTTATTAATTTATATAATAAAAAATATTTTCTAATTAAATTAAAATATTTTTAAAAATTAATATATTGTATTTAAAAACAGAAATATGTTTAATTATCTAATTAATAATTATATTTATTTAAAAAAATTAACTTCTATCCACAAACATGGTAAAACATTTTTCTCAATTAAAACAGAATTTAACTTTGATTCAAAACTCTAAACCAAAATATTGTTTACTTACGATCATAACTTAACACTGACTTCATATCATGACTTAACACTCTTGTCAACGAAATGTTATGTATATTGTCACCAGTCAAGACTTTGAAAACAGTTTCCTGATATACATACCTCGGATAACACATCTGAAATTGCACGCCGACTTCATCAATTTCTTGATTGCCCGGGATGAAGTTCGCTGAAGCAAAGAATGAACCTGAAGAATTTGTCTCCAACTGACAAATCACATTCGGTCGATCTCAAATTTGGTCTGTCAGTAGTTCAAAGTCGAAATCCCATTCTCCAAGCGCAACACCCAGGACTAACATATTTGAGCTCAATGGCTTCGATTAGATAGCCATCTTCACTTCGCACTTCCTTAGTGATCAGATGATTGAATGAACGATGGAGAATCCTGTCCCTTAAATTTAAGTAATTGGGGATAAAAATGAAGGAAAGATACATTAAAAGCCATAAGTGACAACACGACTAATGCAACTGTGCTGAGACAGTCAAACTAAGAACCAAAACTCTTCAAAACACTCGACTGTGAAGATTTTGCTCACCAAGCTGGGATTGACAAAAACTTGGTTAACAAAGGAAATACGAGATAGAAGTCAAATGTAATATATCAGAAACATGTCCTTCCTGTCCCCAACAGAGGACAGACATGGAGAATCAAACAAGGAACAATTGCAGGCGGAAAACGCTTTGTCCGAACAACTTAAGAACCAATCATGGTCTTCGGAGCAAATTTAAGGACAGCGTATACAGAACTTGTGCTTTTGAAGTTACAGCCCGTGCAGTGTAGTCGTTCATAACTAACAGATGCTTTAATCCCTGATCAACATTTTGAGATCTTCTGGGTATATCTTCTATCTGGTCCATTTCACATATCCTCAGACAGAGACTACCACATAAACTAGAAAACCTTTTCAACGTTATGACAGGTCAAATTTTACCATATAAAGCAGATGATAAAAACACCCAAATTCACTTGATTCTATGAATCGGAACATGAAGCTGCTGGTAAGCAAACTTCAGAGCAAAAGTACAGATTATCAAACATCGTATATCTGTCTTTGTAGCTTCGAGCACCTGTTATTATCTGCGGTTACAAACGAGTGTCCAAAATACCATCAAAAGGAGATCATCATTTTACGGACATTTCTCCAATGCACACACACTTTCAATATCACGGTATCGCGAATTTGTGTCCCAGTGAGCTGGATCGGAATCTTACTACGAAATCTCTAGCTTTTGATCCTAGATGGTGTTTTCATTTCAAGCAATGAAAAAGCTAGAGCTCCAAGTTGTGCTCAAAAGGGTTATCATTATCCAAACACAAAACACAAATACTTGATACCGTATCAAAAGAAAACTTGAATTGTTTTGCTATCTATTTGAAAGGTCCAGCCAGGTAATTTGAGCTGCTATACCATGTCCTACAAAGGAATCTAGGCAGTAAACAAACACGTACTGCGGAGCTCCAACTAACAGTTCAAAAGGGAAGAGAACTGAACACAACGGCTTAGGTAATGTCCACTACAAGTTACTACAGCAGCAAATTTGAAATAATAGTTTCTCAGCATTGTCAGGATTTCATGTTCCCAGACTGCTTGATATATACATTTGAAACTAGAGAATCGAGAAACCTAATTCAACTTCATTTAAGCAAGGATTAAAAGACTCACCGAGCTATATTCACACAGATAAGATGAGGCTCCTCCTCTGGGTTGACAGGATTGTAATCATGAAATGGAATGACCTGTACACCGAGGACACTTCATACACATGATACACTTTATAAGCATGGTCCACAGGTTTAAATCGCTTGAAATAAATCCTAGATACCAACTCGTGGTTCTTCTCACTGAGCTTTTCTGGGTGAAATGTGTTAACCTCATCATCACTGATGACGAGGCACGAGCTATAAGTTTCACATATATCTTCGCAGATATTGACAACTTCAGGCGTATAGTGTGTACTGCAACATCATTGTAAGAGTTCTTGAATTTCGCAGGATTGCATCTTAAACTAACTTCTGATGTAAAGTGATATCAGGAATGCGGGCTGAAATTTCCTCAAAATAAGATCAGTCTGAACTCAGATTGTAAATGGAATAGAATATTATTAACGTCCAAACCATTTCCGCAAGATAACTATGGAGACTCTCAGAATGACTGACTCAGAATATAGCTTGCAATTGAGAACGTGGAAATGTGAGGAAACCGCATATTACATACACATGTTGGTATCGAAAAAATCTCGCTCGATCTCACTGCGTAGAACGATCGCGAATAAGATCAGAAGCGGACTTCTCACTTTCTGTTTGACAAATGGATATACGGCTTTGTAAAGAGGTTTGTCGTCTAACACGGAGCAAAAATGACTGCGCAAATGTCTTCAGACAACAGCAAAATGTGCGGATTCGCAAAGACAAAAAATTCGAAGAAAAAGATAGGAAGCCCGGAGCAAGGTATCAGAGGCGTTAGGCACACTCAGGCTTAGCCTTAATCTGTTGTAACAACCTCCCTTGGTCTCTGGTTCATTTATCTCAATTAGAAGGCCTTATCTCCCCAGCTTCTTCTGCAATACAGATTCTCCAGGGACGCAAACATGGGACCATTACCATGGCAACCCTAAACTACAGAAAAGTAGCATCGGTGATTTTCTCGTTTACCATATTAATCAAGACAGAATTTGACGGGCTAAATCTCAGATCGAGGAGAAAATGTAGACCTCGTAATACAGACAGTGTGGAAAGAGATAACTAAAGACCAAAAGGATGATCAAATTCCGATCCGAAACTCGGCGCCAACAAACAACGCTCCACAGTGTGTTGATGAAGCTGAAGAACGTTCTCACATTTTTCTCGCAAATGAACTTGGCCGCGCAAGCTGGAAGTGGCTCATAAAATGATCTCAACACGGTTCGGAGTTCACTTCTGTAGTGTGAGTCCAGGTCGGCCAGTTGGGCGACAGCTCCAGCTGGATGCCCATCTGACGGTAGGTGGCTACGGGTGGCCCTCTGCAGGTCTCACCGTTTGGGTAACCCACGTCTCTAAGGTTTAATTTCTTCTGAAGGGTATCTCTATCCTTTTCTTTCACGAACTTACTGCAAGATTGCACACAACGTTTACAAGTTTCTGATTCTGTCTCGTATAACTTCTGAAATATCACTGACTTGTTGTGGAAGATATCTACCAATTTTTGTAGATCAATATTCAACTGCAAGGTAGAGTAAGTTCGATTTAGCTGTAATTATCAACTCAAAAATCAAATTCTTGCAGTTGTAGCATGTGTATATCTCAGGCAGCTCGTGGTGTCTGCGTCTGCGTGTTATAAATCTCTGGATGATACGGACAATCTCGGTTGTAATCGGATGTATCGTGTACTGGATAGTATTACGCATTTCCAATAGAGTTTTTCCTTGAAAATGCACATGCAAATAATCATAACAATTAACTCGTGCTACGTCGTAGATTCTGGAAAATGTCTTCAATGCCGGCCTGCGTGCGAGCAGGCCGGCATGGCTTGCTCGCATGTGAACTTTTTCTTTATACCCAGGATGGCAAGAAAGAATAATATCCATAATATGAAAGCAGCTGAGAATTCAACAGATGTACGACATGGCTGCTTATCGACTGGAGAAGATCCCGAACATTACAGTGAGATGATGGTAACTGCTGTGGACGACAGCTGCCATGACGGCACAGGCAGAAATATCCTATATATAAAGTAAGAGCGTGG